TAAATTGTAAATTTTTTAATAAAGAGAATTTATTTAGTTTAAAACTTTTTTTTTTTTTTTTACTTTTAATCCTTGTATAAAAATTTTTTTATTTTATAATTTTAAAATCAAAATTAAATTACCTGGTTAAGTATAATTTTCTTGTCATGTTTAAAAAAACGTAATTAATTAATTTGAAAATTAAAATTTTATTACACAAATAGAAAAATACCCGTCCCGTTAAATTTGAAAATTTTTGAAATATATCATACCATAGATAATCATTTGTGTTATTTACTCTATGACTCAAAGCGTGCACGTATATCCGGTAACGCGATTTCCTCACGAAATTCATGTTTTGTAATAAACTTGCTTGACTTATTTCTTTTAATACATTTTTTTAGGTTTACCTTTGCATTTTTTCTAGCAGTTTGCAAAGGTGAGTACTGAAAATTACCTTTTTAAATTAAAATAATTATCAAAACATTCTCCTAAAATGTGTATCGAAAGTAAATAAATTTGAGTTTTGACCACACATGGAAAAATTTAGGTTTTTTCTTTTAAAATGCTTTCGAAAACTAACAGATTTTGAATTTAATAAATCATATATTTATCCGTAGGAAACTATTAATAACTTTTAACAATGGCACCTAAAAGAAATAATATGATTCCGAATGGCCATTTCCACAAGGATTGGCAAAGATTTCTCCAAACGTGGTTTAACCAGCCTGCTAGAAAACGAAGGAGGCATATTCAACGTTTAAAAAAAGCAAAGGCTGTTGCTCCAAGACCAGCTAAAGGTCCATTAAGACCAGTTGTAAGGTGTCCTACTTTTCGGTATCACAATAAAGTTAGAGCTGGACGTGGATTTACTTTAGACGAACTTAAGAAAGCAGGTATATATATGTAAATTAATTTCTTTGCATAGAATAGATTCTAGTCTATAATCCTGACTTTTTTTTTTTTTTTTTAAATTTAAGTATTTAAGTGTAATAATTGAATCAAAATTGTTAAAGTGTTATCAATGTGATATCTATTATTAAAGTGGAAAATTTTTTGTAATTTTAAACGTGAATTATTTTAGGAATCACACCGGCTTTTGCTAGAACAATCGGTATAGCAGTAGATCAGAGAAGAAGAAATAAATCTCTTGAATCGTTGCAAAAAAATGTTCAGAGATTAAAAGAATACAGATCGAAATTAATTTTGTTCCCATCTAAATGGAATGCTAAGAAATTGAGAAAAGGAGAAGCGACCATGGAAGAAAAGAAAGTTGCTACTCAATTAAGGTCTAAAGTTATGCCCATTAGACAAGGTACATCTAAATTGAAGATTAGACCCGTTACAAAAGCAGAAAAGAAATTCTCCGTGTTCAATGCGCTTAGAGCTGCTCGAGCTGATGTACAATTAATCGGAGCAAGAGCTAAAAAGGCTAAAGAGGCTGCTGAAAATGCTGATGACGTATCAAAACCAGCTAAGGAAAAGAAAGCTAAATAAAAACTGTAAAAATGGCTAATCAAAACCATAATGTTTAATAAAAATATTTACAAAAATAAATAAAATTTTTTTTATAAAATTCATTCACAAGTCTCAACTAATATTGACTATTGAGTTAGTCTCGACTAAATATTTTAAATATAAAATTGTTGATGTAAACAAATTGTCAACAAAAAAAAAAAGTTTGTTTTGATTTAATTTCTAGTAATTGAAATTGTTATTAATTATTATTAAAGTCATATACAATTTTTTATCGAGAGCTATGAAATTAATCATTCAGAAAGATACAGCAGGTGACTTTTAAAAACGAATAAGACAAATTTTTTTATCGAATAGGATTTCAAATACAAACAATCATCCTAATGATTTGTTATTAAATAAATAAAAATAATTTCAAATCGACAGCAATAAAATCCCTCTTTAAATATTATCATTATCCTTTTTTATATTTCATTCTAATAAGTAGTATAGTAAGGTGTAAATTATGAAAACAAACACACAGACACACACATTTTGATTAAATTAAAAAAAAATAAAATTTTTTTTTGTTAGTTAAAAACTCAATGATTAAAATGACATTCAAGGTTTTTATTACGTTTTAAGTAATTTAATATGCGAGTTTGCGCTCTTTCAACATTTAAATGATGAGAATACGACCATAGTGTCACGAGCTGTGTGGCCTTAATACGTATAAATATTATTCACTTTAAGTGAATAAAAATTTTTTTTTTTCTTTTAATTTTTTTCTGATTTAAAATTTTAATATACAGTTTCTTATGTTAAATATATAATATATAAAAAATGGGAAACAATGCATCATTATTATTAAGAGAAGAAGAAATAGCACAAATACAAGAAGAAACTGGATGTGAGTATATTAATATATTATAATAATATGATTTTAAAGAAAAAATTTTTTGATGTGACATTGAATATGTCAGCTGTTGAAAATAATCACCCATTTTTTTTTTTTTTTTTTTTGGATTTTTACAAAATTTTTCTCATTATATTCATTCAATTTTCAATTTATTAAATTACCATCCAAATAAAATTGTTTACTTTTAATTACGCAATCAAGGACATTTTCTCAATAATTAAATCATTCAGCAAAAAGTATCATTCATTTGATTCAATAATAAAATAAATATACAAAAGGATTATTAAATATTATTAATATTCGATTGTGCGTTGTGATGAATTGAAAAATGAAAAAATAAATATTTATATTTGCTTACCTTTTTTTGCAGTTACTCCAAAACAAATTGAAAGGCTCTACAGTAGATTTACAAGCCTTGACAGAGGTGAGAGTGGAACTCTTAGCAGAGAAGATTTTTTAAGAATCCCTGAACTTGCGATTAATCCATTAGGCGATAGAATTGTTCATGCTTTTTTCGAACAAGGATGCAGCGACAGAGTCAATTTTTTACAATTTATGCAAGTTTTAGCTCATTTCAGACCTATTAAAAAAAATAAAGATAATAAATTAAATTCAAGAGAACAAAAGTTAAGATGTAAGTACATCATTTGTATTTATTTATGTTTATGATTGCTATATAATGAGTGTACAGAATTGTTTTTGTTTTTCAGTTGCCTTTAAAATGTACGATCTTGATAATGATGATAAAATATCGAGAGATGAACTATTAGCAATATTACACATGATGGTCGGGGCTAACATAAGGTAAATAGTTTAATTTTGATACATGATAAATTAAATGTTAAAAATTATGTTTTGTTTTAGCGAAGAACAGTTAAGTAGCATAGCAGAACGTACAATATTAGAAGCTGATAAAAATTGCGATCAAATGATCTCATTCGAAGAATTTTGTCGAGCACTAGAAAGAACTGATGTCGAACAAAAAATGTCTATTCGATTTTTGAATTGATATACAAAATGTCATTGTAAAATGTAATGTTAATTTGTCATTAATATTGTATCCATTTAAAAAAATAATAATAACAATAATAATAATAATAATAATAATAATAATAAATAGAAAAAAATTGAAATTAGGTGAAAAAGATTTTAAATTTAATTTGAAATGTTTTAAGAGAATGAAAATAATTTAAATTTAGGTATGAAACCATCGAGTGTGTGTGTGTACATAATATAAAAATTTTAACAGAATTTTAATTTTGTTATTCGAAAAAATGAAATTTTATTACAGTTTTAACCTAATATTTTTCATTTGTTATCATTAATAATTATTTATCACATATTATTTATATTTATTTTCTTAAATATATATATATATTTATGTAAATTAATATTTATAAAAGTATTTAATAAGTATTGAAAATTTGCCTTTTTTTTTTGCAAAAAAACAAAATGATCGATGAAATGTAGTGAATAATAATATTTATATTAAATAAAAGCATTCCTCTTTATTTATTTATGAATACTGTAAAAATTACCAATATATATATATATATTTTAAATTATTAAAAAAAAAAATGGTTTTGATATTTATTGTTTAAATAAATAAATAAATGAAATATTTTTATTTTATTTTTTTTTTGAAAACTCGAATTAAAAATGAAATATTATCCTAGAAAAAATTAAATTTTATTATTTATTTTAATTTTATTAAATAAGATTTATTATTTTGAAGCTAATCATCGTTATTATTATTTATTTCATTTAAAAATTATAATGATAATAATAGTTATTGAGCAATAATTTCTTTAATTAAAAAAAATAATTAATTTTTTATAAAATAAAATACAATAAAAAATTTTTAATTGGCAACCACCATAATAATAATAATAATAATAATAATAATAATCATAGATAATATTGTATTTATGTAATTTTTTAGTTTGGGATAAAAAAAAAAAAATAATAATAATAATAACATTTAATTTTCAAATGTTTTTCACACAAAAAAAAATATGAAAATCAAAAAAATGGATGATTTTTTACATGTAGGTAATAATCAATCCGTTATTTTATTTTTTTTTTTTTTTTTTTTTTTTTTTTTAATTAATTAATTAATTTCGAATAAATTTTTTTTTTTTTTTTTTATAACAAAATAATAAATAATAAATAATAAATAATAATAATAAATGTGAAAAGGTATGCGGTAAATCTGCGTAATATATATATATAATGAGCTTATTCATTTATTATTAAACGAAAAAGCATAAAAAAAAAAAAAGAGATAAAAAAATTATTAGTGTAATTAAATAGAAAGAGAGAGAAAAAAGGGAAAAAAAGGGAAAAACAATGTCGAAAGTGGATTTAAAAAAGGATGGCGAAAAAAAAGTTAAAAATAAATTTAATCGTAAACCCAAAAGAGATGTTAAATTACAAGGTAATTTAAATTTCAATAAAAAAAAATTTATTATTATTATTATTTAAATGAGATTTTCAACCAAAAAAAAAAAAAAAATAGCAAAATTTTCCTGCATCAACGTTCAGAATTATAAAATAAGAAACTTTTCAGGTATTATTATTTTCAAGGTTTTCAATTATAATTTATAAAAATAATAAATCATTATCATCATCATTCATTCATAAAATAAAAACAACAAAAGTTTAAAAAGCCAGAAAGAACATTGATTGATAATTTGTCAGAGGAACATTTGATAAGGTTTTCTGTACCTGAATTTTCATTTTTTTTTTTTTTAGAATTAGAAAAACAATTACAATTTGCCGAATCTCGTTGTGGTACATTAAAACAACAATTGGATTATATAAAACAATTATATAAATATGGTAAATGTTCAAATTCAAATATATTCGTACAGCCTTCATTTGATAATGGACGCGGTGATAATGGAGATTATATTAAATATAAAGAACATACAAAATGGGATAATAAAAATATATGCGTTAAAACAAATGGTAATTAAAAAAAAAAAAAAAGATTTTTTTCTGTTTTTCTATCTTTCTTTGCTTCTCTCCATTAAAAATTAAATTGTTTTTTTTTTCCCTTTAATGGCGGTCTGTAGAAGATGTAGAATTTTCTGATTTTTTTAATCGAATAGCTTCTCAATCGAACACGACATGTACGAATTCGAGTAATAATAAAATATTATTAAAAATGAAAGGAAATAATCAGGCGGATTCGAATGTTATGTCGAAAGGTTATCAAAAGCATAAAAATCAAATAAAATTTTTAAAAGTTAAAAAGAAAAATATGAAAAAAATGAAAAGGAAAAAAAAAATGGACGACACGTCATCGTCGAAATTTAGCAACGTTTCGAGTCAGAGACACAGTCAAATATGGCAGGATCCGGTTGTTGAAATCTATAAGAATTCAGCATTGAATGCCGAATCCGAAAGCGGTTTGGAAATTATTTTCAATAAGAAAATAATGAAAGGCGATGAAGTTTTATTGGGTTTGAAAAAAATCAAATGTCTTAATAAAAATTCCGAATCGTCGAGAGAGAAAATTTTATTGGAGGATACCAAAGTTAAAAAATGTAATTCGCACGATTCTAAAAAATGTAAATTATTCAAAGATGAAGAAATACAAACGGACATGTTTGATGACGTCACACATCAACAAAGAGACGTAACGGTCGTTAATGATTCGAACGATGTTAATGAAAACGATGTGAAAAACGTTACGGGTAAAGAAAATTTAATTAGAATTGAAAATAGTTTGTTCGAACCGGTTAAAAGTTATTGTCAACCGACAATTTCGTCGAAAAGAAAACAAGTCGGACGCGATGTTTATTCAAATATAAATAATATTAACGTTCGTAACATACCTTTTATTGCTGCCAAATCGACGACGCCGAGTCATAACATCGGTGTTAACATACAACAAGTATTATCTATAATAAAAAAAAGACACGTTAATATCGATAATGCAGCACTTACCTACGAGAATGGTATTAACGATGTACGATTACCTGGAGTTGTAAATTCAAAAAGAAATACTACTACTACTAATAATAATAATATTAATAATAACGATATTGAACCCATATCCGAAATGAGTACGACCATGACGGGTTCGTCGGAATCTAAAAAACAATCACTGGGTCCATCGAGATCCAGCATGTCGCATTGGAAAAGCGTTAATGATTTCACCAAAGAAAAACAAATAAATAATAACGATAAAGATAAAAATATGGACGATAATAATAATAATAATAATAATATATGCGAACAAGAATGGACGTTTAAGGTGGATAAATTAAAAAAAGTTTTGGTTTTTCTACATGAAGATTTTACATCATTAAGCCAGTACGTATATTGAAATTTTAATTTTAATTTTATTAATAATAATAAACTTACTTCTTTTTTAAATTCCTTTTAAGAAAATATAATAAATTACAAAAAAAACTCACTAAAAGAAATATAAGTAAAGCGGATGCAAAAGGAGAATTGGCTGATATTGAAAAAGAATTGGAAAAAAAAGAAGAAGAAATAACCGTCGTTATTAGTTTGTACAAAGAGGTATCGCGTCGTCTGTCTAACGATTTTCGCGCCACGTCTTAAAATTTATTGACACGTCTATTGTGACATCATTTCAGGTTTTGAACGTTAGAGATGATTTTAAAAAATTACAAGATAAATATAATTTATTAACTTACGGTAAACCTCTTTTTCTCGATGGTCTTAAACAAACGAACAGTGCTCACACACAAATGACTACACTATTAAGAAAAATACAAAGTTTTCAAGAAAGATTAAAAGGATGAATTATATATATATAAATAATTAATTATTTATAATTACATATCAAAACACCATCATAATCGTTGTTATTGTTCGCCATTTTATTATTTTTAATTCTTTTTTATCATTATTTTAATTTTATTATTATTATTATTATTAATTAAAACCTTTGCGTTTTTATTAATTAATTAATTTTTTTTAAATAAAGTGTTACAATATAGCAAGGGACAAAAAAAAAAAAAAATTTTTTTTCCCTATTTTTATTATTATTAATTATATCCCTTTAAAAAATTTAAAAAAAAATGATAGAATAACTCTTAAAACATTTGTAAACTCTTAAAAAAAAAAATTTATTTAAAAAAACAAATTATTATTATTATTTTATTATTATTATTATTAGAGAGATCAAAAAATTATTTTGATAAAATTTAAATAAAAAAATTTTTTTATTAAATTTATAAAAATTTATTCATTTAATAATAATAATTAAAAAAAAAAAAAAAAATTGTATTAATAATAATGGCATTTTAAAATTTAAAAAACAAGAAGAAAAGAAAAAATTACAAAATACAATTTTTGTTAAATTATAATTAAATACATATTAATTATATTCAATAACAATTATATATAAAAAAAAAAAACTTTTTGTTTTCCCTTCCAGAAGAAAATTTATAAGGCACGTGCATTATATTCATATAAACCTGTATTCCTAGCCTAATCAATTATTTTATGTTAGATAAGCTCAAAACTTGAAACCACCCATATTTACCTTCCCCTCCTAAAGACTAGAAAAATAATTGATTTCATTTTACTATTATTATTATTATTATTATCATAAAGTAAAAAAAGGCAAGATTTATAATATTAAAAAAAAAAAAAAAAGAGAAAAAAACGTGTTAGTTATAATAAAACGTTTTGCACGATAAAGAATTGAAGAATGTTATAAATTATTATTATTATTATTATTTTTTTTATACACAAGCAGTCTTTTCCATTAAAATAAAAAATATAAAAAAATAAAAATATAAAAAATAAAAAAAAATAATAATCAGATCTCAATGATAGCAAATGATAATAATTATTGTTAAATATTAGAAAGCTAAATTAATAACAAACAAATTTCTTTTTTTCTTTTTGTACCGATGAATAATGGCCTCTTATTATTATTATTATTATTATTTTTTCTCAACAATAAAATAACAACCAACTATTTTTTTAATGTTTAAAATAAATTAAACCTTGTACTTGATTGTATAAGCAGACATTTTGTTTTTTTTTTTTTTTTTTTGTTAATTTAATTAGCGAAAGAAGACATGTCACTGGAAACAATTTCTTCTTCTTCAATTATTTCTTCCCTCATTTCTCCTTCGTCTACGTCATCGTCTACGTCATCGTCTTCGTCATCGTCATCGTTCATTTCCATTGCTTTCCTACTCGGTATCATGTATTTTAAAAGTTGAGAATTTCCGGCTGGTGTTCTCACTACTTTATCCGAAACCCATTCGAAAACGTTTTTCAAATCTTTATTTTTTATATTTTTTATTCTCGTCACCGTTTTTCTCTTTTCTTCGATGACGATTTTCTTTTTTTTCTGCGCGAGTGCTCTTCTCTTTTGAAATTGTTTAACTTCGGATCTGCGACACACGGGTATGTATTTGTATAAAAAAACCATAATTACCGATTTGAAACGTTTATTTCTAAAAAAAACTCACTCGGTTCTTTGCGACATGAACCAATCCGGACTTTGAACTGGCGTTGTCGTTTTTAATAATTTAAGATTGTTGTTGAAATATTTTAATGGCGGAGTTTCCATGCTGATGACACGCAACTGACTTTTGTTTAATTTTGGCTTTGAACTCACGTTGACGATCTCAAAAAAAAAAAATTGACAATTTTTATTATTGTTATTACGTTATTACGAGTGCTACGAACAAATTTTTCAATTACCTCGGGTATCTCAATGTCGTTTAATTCGAAACCTTCTTCTTCACCATCATCATCAATTTCTGTCGTGTCTTTTGAAATTTTGCTGACGTTATTCTAAAAAGGGGAAAAGAGAGAAATGTAAAATATAAAACGTCCGTTCAACTAATAAGTTTTTTTTTTTTTTTTTTTTTCTAAATTAACATTTTAAAATATCTTATTACCTTGTTATTTTTTTTTTTACCGAGTACCTTTTTCGGTTTTTCCAATTTCCCACATTTATTTTCTTTCGTCTGTAATTTTTTTTTTAAATAATATAAATTATTTTTTTTTTTTTACCGAGAGAAGAATTTTCTAGAAAATTTTTTAAATTTTTTACCTTTTTCTTCGACTGTTTTTTACCCTTTTCTTCTTTTAACATTTTTGTTTTCCCTTCAAGTAATGAATTTTCCGACCTGCTTTTCTAAAAACAAAAAATTTTACAATAATAAATCATCTTTATAATTTTTTATTTTTCTTATACGGGAAAAAAAAGGCAAACAATGAATGAACCTTTCTCGGTGTTGAATCCACATCTTCAGAAATTTCTCTTTTCCTTTTCGAATTCGATTTTATGAGTTTCACTTGAGTTTTCTTCGTTTCCGCCGAGGAAATCACTTTTGAAACTTCATTGTCATCGTCATTCGATTTCTACGACAGCAACAAACGGGGGGAAGGGGGGGGAATTTCAAAATTATTACACAATAATTAAAATTATGACTACAAAAAAAAAAAAAAAAAAAAAAAAAAATTTTATGTACGTTACTCACTTTACTTTTTGGAGTTTTCATTTTTGTCTTTTTTACCGAACTCGAATTTGTTTGCGTGACTTTTGATAAGGTATCATTCAACTACAAACAAACAAACAAACAAGAAAAACCAAAATTGAAAATATTTAAAAAATATTAAAGAAAACTAATAAAATTAATGCTTACATTATTTTTTTTATTTTTCTCTGAAGCTGAAATAAGAAAAAAAAATAAAATAAAATCAATTATTTCAATTTAATTTGGCGGTATAAAGTTCAAAATTCAAAAAAAAAAAAAAAACATACAAGAAAAAAGAACCGGAGGTTTTACCGTTCTACCACTTCTTGTACGACATGATGAATCAACTGAAACAAACAATCAACTTGATAACTTTTCAAAAAAAAACCGTTAAAAACCATTAAAAACAAATAAAACAAACTTGTCGCGTTTGTATTTAACGGAGTACTTTTAGGTGTTGTTTTTGTCATTTTCGGTGATTCCCTTTTCCCTTTCTCCCCATCAATTTTCTTCCCGCTTTCCAATTTTTTTCCAATCATTTTATTTTTTTTCGTTTTATTCGAAAAAGTTTTTTTGACTTTTTTCGAAAAACTAAATTTTTGCCTCACTGGAGTTTCCGAATTCACTGCAGATTTATTTTTTTCAGGTTCGGGTAATGATTTCCTCATGATTTTGGGCGTCGTCTCGTATTTCTCCACTACTTTTTTCGGACTTGATTTTCTTTTCACGTATGAATCCAACGTTTTTGTTTTTTTAACGGTGCTCTGATTATCGAGCAATTCTTTTTGAAAAACTCTCCAGTGACTCGTCAATCCATCTTTTAATCGAGATCTTATTTTCTTCGAAAAAGCTAAAACTAAAAACAAAAAAAATTTAATTTATATAATTATACTGTACAATTAATTCTTGTCTACATACATATAAAAATTTGAATTATGAAACGAAATGAAACTATAAATAATAATGATGAGGATACTTACTTGAATCAGATGGGCTTCCAATTATATTACATTCCAATCCATCGATAAGTATTACTTTCCTATTATTAATTCTTTTTTTAACAGCTTTTGTTTGCAAAATGGCTCCACTTGTAATAAATAAACAGGGAGGGGGGGGGAAATTATTAATTAAGACTTAATTAGAAATAAATTTGAAATGTTAAAAATTTTTTGATTACTTACTTTTCGCATGTTCCACAAAATACTAAATCTGTACCGAAAGCAACTGGATACCAATGTTTTAAATGAATTATATTTTTTTGTTCTCTAAATGTTGATAATTTCGAAGATCGAGGCTAAATAATAAAACAACCAAAAATTAAAAAAAAAAAAAAAAACTCATGAAAGAAATTCATGGTGTAAAAATTAATAAATCATTTACCGTTTTTATTTTGACATTTTTTACGTTTTTCTTTTTAGTTTTAAAAAAAGGTTTTGGTTTTTTAAAAATTAAATCGCTGTCCTCTTTTTCATCTTCAGAATATGATTTCTCATTAACTGAACATTCAAATGCTGAACTTTTTTTCTTTTCTTCGATTGGTGATAGCAGACGATTACGTAGTCTGTTTTTAGAAGTCAACGTTTGTAAAACTTCCTTAGCACCTTTTAGAGAAACAGTACTTTCAAAAACTTTTGAACGTTTTTCTAACTTGTCCTCACCTAAAATAAATTTTAGTGTGCATATTTTTTTTTAAATTATGAGATTAAGTCAAATTAATGATTAATTTACCATTACATCTGGAAGAATAACTCATAACAGAGTCTGCATCTGTATCTGTGATTCCAGGAGCAAAACTAACATCTGACAACATGTCTAATTTCTGGAAAATTTACAACAACAAGTAAAAATGAGTATTGATGTAGGTAATAAAAAAATTTATAAAATTTTATTTAAAATAATACACGAATGCAAACCTCTTTTGCTTTATCGAATTCCCGTCTGAAAATTTCTGCAGGAACATTAGGCACGGCAATTAAAAGTGAATAGTGTAAATTTTCGATTACTTTGTGAAATTCAGACTTCATAGAAGTGAAACTTGTTATTGATCCTTCTACATACTGTTCATCTTTTTTTTGTTTGTAATTAGATAAATACCTCGGGTAGGAAAAGGCACTGTCTTTTTTCGATATATGAGAAACGTTAAAATTCAAATTACTGATATTTCTATTGTTTGCTTCATAATTATTGGAAAATGAAATGGATGAAATACTTGAACTTTGAGGAGGTTTAATAGGTCTGAATGCTGCAGGTTTTACAAAGTTACCATCAAATATTTTTTTAGGTTCGTTTACATTTTTATACAAATTACTTTCTGATGCGAACCTCAATCTCGAAGGTTCCGCTATGTCGCTACATAAACTTCTAAAACTCGATATAGAATTTGTATTCGATTTGTAAATTCTTTCTGAAGTACTTTCACTAGGAATACTTCCTGACCTTAATCCAAACCTTCTAACGATTGTATTTTCACTTCTGTAATTTAAAGCAGGATTTAACCTGCTAATACTTTGGCAGTACAGTCCTGGATCTGGAGGAAGGGCTGTAGTTAAAGTATTTTGTTCTCTATTATCATAATTACTTTTACCTACTTCACTGTTCTGATCAACAGTTTCATGGTTTTTCTCCTTTAAAAAACCAGTGCTAGTTAAAATGTTCCTTCTTCCTAAACCAAAACTTTTAGATACTGATACTTCATTAAAACCATTATTACAATGAGAATCTTCATTTTGATACTGAAGTCTAGAATTATAAATAGCTTTTCTAGGAGAGGGGCAAAACATACTGCTGTAAATTCGGTTACGATTGAACTCAAATCTGTTAGATGAATTGCATAATTTTGTTTTACATTGAAAAAATGATGTTGAAGTACTGGGTCCATTACATTCATTCCTATTTTCAAAATCTATTTTGCTTATATCCTCACACATTTCCAATGGATGAATATTCGTGTTTTCATTCAATAACAAACCAGATTTAAATGATCCATTTCTTCTGAAAACCTTGGATGTGCCAGGCAAAGCAAAGCCCCCATTATTATCATTATTAAAATTTTTATCGTTTTGTAATTTTTTATTATTTTCTAAAAACTGCCCTGAAACGATACTTTTATGAAAAGATCCAAAAATTTTTGACATTTTACAATTAATGACAAATTGCGTCTTTCTAAATAATTCACTAAAACAAGTTCCTCACATTACACTGCTTGTCTTCATACACTGACCTTTAGTGCGCGGAAAAAAACAGTATAAACAACAACAAGAAAAAAAAATTTTAAGTTGGCAACTTTCAATAAACATGGCCGACGTAAATACAGATGAAAAAATACATTTATTATGAAATAGATGTAAAACATGTTTGATTGAATATTATTACATTGTTAAGTTTATTTTATTACACGTAAAATTTTAATATAAGTTAAAATATAGCAATGATAAGAACAATTTTAAGAAATACAATTAATAATACCGACAAATTTAGAGGACCGGTATTAAAAAATTTTCATATATCTGCCATAACTAGACTTAAAGAAAGTAAGTTTTTCATAAATATAAATAAAATTTGACTTTTTTTTTTAGGAAACTGATAAATTTTTGTAATTGTTTCAGTTGTTGTGTCCAAGCCAGATGAAAAAACTACTGTCATTGAAGGAAAATACGTGGATTCGCCAAGAGTACCTTTTTTAATAAAACATGATTCTAACAGTAAAAAATGTATCCTTTGTCAACTTCAATTAAATATTAAACACACCGTACGTAATTTTAACAAAATTTAACGTTTTTTATTAATTTACATAAGTATCTGATAAATAATACATATTAAAATAATTTATCATTTTAGGATGTTTTAATATTAAGTCAATTTATCACATCAGAAGGTGAAATTATGCAAAGAAGAGATATCGGAATATGCAAAGATCAATATAGATTAATAAAAAATTTAATTTACATGGCACAACATTCAGGTAATTTTTTTTTTTTTCAAAAAAAATTTTATAATTAATTAAATTACTTATTTCTGCATATTTATTTTAATTTTATAGGTTTATTGCCTGCGCCACCGAGAATATCACCCAAGAAGCCTTATCATTATTTAAAAACATATTACGATGAGAAAACGATTAACATTAGACCTAAAAAGACAATATTTGCTAATAAGTTACACAAATTAAAATTGGGTCCGATTGAAAAATTAAGAGTTAGACCTGAAAAAGGTGTCATAGGATATTAAACTTTTTTTTCACAGTGTTGTCAATTTGTTCTCTGAAAGAATTTTTTAAAAAATTTTTTTAATTCTTTCCTAGAACAAATTACTCGTAGAAAAAATTCATTCATTAAAAAAATAAGTATAGTATTAATAAAAGAATTATTAAAATGATAAAAATGAGTTTTTTTTTTTTTTTTCCCCCCCGACTGGAAACCCATCATTAAAATCTTGTAAAATTATTGCAATATTTAATTCTGATTTTTTTTTTTTTTAATTAAATAACATTGACTCACAGTAAATAATATGACCATATGTATAAAAAAGCAAAAAAAATATTTTATTAAATATACTTTTTTTTTTTTTCAATCAAACAAAGATTTATGATTTGTTCTCATCAATGTAATTATGCCACAATAAATGATATTTCTATTACACCCTTTTTTTTATCTACCCATCGGTTTTTAAAAAAATTATTATTATTATTATTATTATTTTTTACAGTCTTAATTATTTATTAATTCTAAAAAAAAAAAAAAAAACCTCATTCCATTTATAGTTAAAAAAAAAAAAAAAAAAAATTACCCAAGATTAAGGGGAACTTTTTTTTATATTTTATTATATCGAGGAATAATGATGATGAATGATTATTAAGAAAAAATTATTTTTTTTTTTTTTTTTTTTTATAAAGACAGCCCTTCCATTCTTTTGAGCTTTGATTCGACTCCTTTTAAAATATCTATTAATTCTTGAGTTTGAGATTTTGCATAGAGTGACAAAAGACAATTTGATATAACGTCTCTCGATTTTGTTACGGCAGCTCTCCTACGTAATAAAAAAAAAAAAAAAATTTTTTTCATTTTGAATGATTATTAATTTTTTTAAAATTAAATTTCACAAAAAATTCTACCTTTCGACTGGGAGTACAATATATGGCGTGTCAGCAAAATAAGAACACAATTCCGCAATCGTTCTCGTTATGTGAAATTCGTTTCCTTCCAAAGACCAAGTTCTATCACTCGTGTTGTTTATCCTTAAAAAAAAAAAAAATGAAGGCTCGTGAGTTATCCTCGTAAACTTATCATCACGTGGTAACACAAACTTACATGAGATAAACTTGTAATAATTTCGAATAGGAAACTCCGGCGGATATTAAAACTGGATATATTTGATTATCGTATGGAGAATGTTTGCAACGTATGACTTCCAATGTTCTCACGATGAATTGCAATGGAAAACATCTCGGACTTTGAATGTATTGTTCCGTTAAACTTTTGATTTTGATTAAAAGAGCCGAAAATTTTTGATCCATGCTTTCTCCACCGTATTTACACAACTCTGAAACAAACATTGGAAATTTAAATTCAAAGTACCGCAATTTTGCAATTCGATTAAATTTTTTTTTTTTACCGGATTCTATAATGTTCTTCCATATGTCTTCGATCAAATGTGGATCGTTGTGACTCGTGGAATGTACGAGAGCGAGATTGCATTCCCACAATTTGAAAGGTTCGGCAAAATCTTCGTACAATTCCGTGCAAGTGAACAATTCGTTATTGAGACGATTTTTAGCTTCTTCTATTATTTCTGGACTTGCCGTTTGAAGGTCGGATATGGCATCGTAAACCTGCAAAAAAAAAATAATAATAATAATAATAATAATAGTTTGGAAAAACATTCGGGAAATTTTTTACCCTTTCGAATTCCATACCATTTGCTGAATGAAAGCAACTTCGCGTTTGTCTTCGAGCTCTTGCAAGAAAACTCCGAGATGAGGAGCACTCCCGACTTTATCGCTTCTCATGCACATGACGGCTCTCGCAAGATAACCGATCCTTTGGGATAAACTTAAACCTTGCCTGTAATAATAACAACACACCCTTTTACAATTCATCTTCCCTAATAATCTATTATTCCCGTATTTTTTTTTTTTTTTTTTACCCTTTTCCAACGGCCAATTTGTGTAATATTTTAGCCGCGGCCGCATGATTTAAATTTTTCTCGTAATATTTCCACAACAAATCGGATATGTGTATTTGATTTGGATTCCTTTCGATCGTTCTCGTCAAATAACTTTCTAAACTTGAATTCGTTATCGATATGAGTTCTCCGTACAATTCTTTGCTTATCATCCATTCGTAGACGGCGATGTGAAGCAATTCGTCGTCCGATTCTAAAACTAGTTGAATGAGACTTTGCGCCTTCGAACGCACCCAAAAAAAAAAAAAAGAAAAAAGAAAAAATTACCCGTGCGAAGAAATGAATGACTGATCAAATTATAATAAAATTAAACTCACTTCCGCTATGGCTCCCGAATATTTAAACGGTAATGATTCGTTTTGACAAAATGAAGAATTATTCGGATTAAATGTTAAATTTGTTGTTGTTGTCGACGTCATACTTGAATTATGTAATTGATCGAGTACAATTGTTAAATGTTTGTAAGTGTTCATCCTAAAAAACAAACGAAATCTCTCTCGTGAATCTAATCGACCACGTTTTTTAAATAATTAATTTTCAAATAGAATTTTTTTTAAACCTTGTGACGTAAGCATCGAATCCCTCCAAATCTTCGGGGGGCTCGTTATTCCTGTACCAGTGCAAAGCCGCATTTTTCGGATCTTGTTTTTTCGCACATACTAAACATATTTGCAATATTCCGACGTAAAATTGATTCGATGCAAATTGTTGACATATTTGCGACAAGTCGATGTGCGGTACTATTTCTTTACAAAGCTGAACAAACAGAAAAAAAAAAAAAAATTTAAATAGAAAATTTTAAACAAAAAGTAAGCACAACGCGGATTCATTTTCTTTTTACATCGAGAGCAGCTTTTAATTTGGCTTCCTTTTCATCCACGTGTACGCTTTTTTTGGCCGCCAAAAGCATTTCGTTGGCTTTTGAACACGCGGCATCTTCGTTTTTGTACAAATTCGGACAAACTTCTCGAAGTTTTGAACTTATCGAATCCACGGATGCATTATCTCCGAGATAACTAATTAAAAAGAAAATCAAAATTATTAGCAAAATTCATTCGCCAGTAACGAAAATAAAAATAAAAAAAAAAAAAAGGTATTGTTCGTACCTATTTATGAGACTACTTATGAATAATGAACACAGTTGATATCCGGATAGGAAAAGTTCTCTGAACGTAACTTCCGGTAGGTGATTTTGTAATTCCTACGAGTAAAATCGTAACATGAGTGAAAGGGTCTTACATTTAATTAAAAATTAAAACACAGGAGCGTACCTCGTCTAACATGTCCGCAATAACGTGAAACTGATGTTCGCAAAGGATTTTCCACAAACCTAAAACTTCACAAGAGTGTGAAACGAAAGATTTTAATGCTAGAAGAGAAGTTTTCTCTTCTAGTTGTGCTTCCAACTGAATGTTTTTTTGTGATCCCGGATGAAGAGGAGTCAAAGGATTTTTTTTCATGACGTTTGACAATAATCCGGCGCTGCAAAAAGAAAAATTCAAATTAATTATCAGAGAAGACATTAAAAGGAAATATCATTCTTATTGCATCGTAATAAAGCCCCCCTCCCCCTCCCCCCTCGGCAAGAGGAGCATTCAAAAAAAAATAAAAAAGGAAAAAAACTGGCAAACTACACACAGTAGTACCGATATATGGAAGTTCGATTAACCTCACGCCTAACAATTTGGAATCGCGGCAATCGAGGAGTCCTCGGGACCATCCACCGTGCGATTTGTAGCATCGGGAGGTCCCTGAACTGCTAAAGTAAACCACGTGACTACACCTTAACTGAGCAGATCTGCCTGAAGTGGGAGCGATCAATGTTCAGCAGTGCCATCACTAAGACACACACACTTCCATTCGATACCAGTCGTTCACTCTATATATATAACCGAATGTGAAAAATGCAATCGCCGCGAAATTTATCATTTCAAATACGAATAAATTAAACCGGAAATTCTCTCTTTGAAGACGATTGTCTGCTATTTCCCTAACGGAAAAAAATAAACGTTACATGAAATACTCGTTTGAAATAAATAAAAAACCCCAAATAATTTTCAAAATGAAATTTGAATGCATCGGTTACCGTAAGGTAATTTCAATTAAACCGTTTTTCCATAAGCTAAACATAAAGGTAAATGTAAGTATATATATTAAATGAATTCCATCTATCGGATTTTTTAAAAACTAATTTAAAAACTTAACGGTTTAAATTTAGATTTAAATTTAAACCGTTAAGTTTAAGTTAAAAGTGTTTAATTAGAATTTTAAGAAGTATTAAAGGAAATGTGACTTTTTTAAAATGATAATAAGGAACAATTATACGGTAATATATCATAGTTTGCAGAAAAAGAGTACAAAATAATAATAATAATAATAATTACCTAGTATGCGTGGTGAATTGTGAATTCTTTTCAAGAAATGATTTCACCGAATGGAGATAACCCAAAACCCAAACACATTCTTCGCTTGTAACCTTGCTACATAACTGAAACAATTAAAGAAAATTTTTTTTAAGTAAAAAATACTTTGAGTAAAGATAAAAAAGGAGTAAAAGTTTCGTGAGAAAATCTTACAAATTGTTGTTTGGTTGGAGTCACGACTTTAGCAACAATGCTTTCGGACCACAAGGGTCTCAGTATCCTGCTCACGTACAGATAAAGCCCATTATGCTTGGCTGAAAATAATACGGATGTTGATTCTTGAACGGGACTTCCGGGAGAAAGAGTTCGAGGAGTCGATGCCAATCCTGGATTAAATCCTAAAATAAATTCGTTTAAAATTTTAATTTTCATACAAAATGATTATGAAAATTTTACGTTTTAAGAGTTTACTGCACACACCATATTGATAAAGAACTCCGGGAGAAACTGGCGAACTTGAAGTTTTAGGTATCGGCCGACTAACTTGAGGCTCACTGCCGTACAGGAAAAAAGCTCTCGTTGCCCATTCGGAAATTTGAATGTTTTGCTGACTTTCTAAACATGCTAGAATAAGACATGTTGCACAGGCTTGTTCCTCCTTTTGAACTTGAAAATATGATTGAACAGCCTCTGAATCGGGTCCTTTACTTTCAATTAGAATTTGACGAAGTAAATCTACTGGACGAAGTTTCGTGATAACTTGTGCTCCCTGCGAATAAAATATGTAAAAAAATTATAATTTTTTTTCACTCTCTAAAATTTCTTATTCCTATAAAATTTTAAATTCACCTGGGCAGTTAACAAAACAAATTTTTTGGGGGGTTCCATATGCTGTCGAACGACTAACGGAGGATCTTCATCAATATTAAGTAAGTTTTCACATGGTTTTTGCGCTAAAAAGGGAGTGTTATTTTTAACCTCTGCCACAGACCAAACTTTTCCATCTAATGGTAATATTGTTTGAACTTCTATTAAATGTGATTGATAAGGATAAGGATCGCTACTAAGGCACCACAAAGTGTCTTGTTCTCCACCTGGCGACGTAATTAAAACTAAACTGCCTGCAATCATAAATTAAAAAAAAAATGATTAAAATACTCCAAATAGTTTTTGTAGGAAAGAAAAATAAAACCCACCCCTGCTGTATAAGGCTTTGGTGGCATTTGTAGGCTTGTAAGATGAGGGATTTGCTGAAAATCCAGGAGGCATTCTAACATGACGAAGAACTAATCTATTTGGACGAGCTTCCGGCTGAGTTATCGTGTTTGTAGCAAAGTAAAAACGAACTCCAGTTTTTGTAACCGCCACTAAATTTAATTGCTTCGAATCATAAATTTCCAAGGCAGAAATATGTATAACTGGTCGAAAGCATTTTGCATCCAGAGTTCTACATAAATTTAAATATTGTTATTAATTAATAATTAATTTTGGAATTAAAGTATAATAATGTTATTATTCTTCGAACGATAAGACGTAAAAAGAAGTAAAATTTTAAGAAAACTTACTTTACAATAAGAACTGCTGCCTGAACAATGTGAGCTTGAGAAATGCTTGTAACCATAGACATTTCCAAACCAGATTCACCTAAATCCCAAACTTCAATGGAACCTTTTTCAGATAATGTATATAAAATATTTCTAGTGTTATCAATTGAAATTTGTATGATTGGATTATCTTCACCATAAGCTATTGAACTGATAAATGATGGAACTAAATAAGATAAATATCGACTTGAATGATTTTTTTTTGAAAATCTTTTTCCGAACCAGTTTCTTTCAGCCTTTAAAGAAAAAACGACAGATAAATTTACTGCAATGTATGATTTTTGTTAATACATTGTTTGAAGAATTAAAAATTTGTACTACCTTATATTCTATTTCAAATAACGATCCATCTCTTCCTCCCAAAAACAACCTACCATTATTCGAACTGTTAATGGTTATGATACTCACTCCATCTGTTGGAACTACAAAAATAGGTTCAGGAAGAAGATACATTTCCTCATAAGCTCCAAGAGGTCCTAAAAATTAAATCTCTGTTTAATATTAATATTAATTGTAATTAATCTATAAAGGTATTGAACTGACCATCTGGTTTAGTTGAACTAAATTTAACTCCCAAGACAACTATTTCCACAGTTGTTGTTAATATTAATAAGTGCTTAATATACTGATAAAATACGTCAGGTTTCGGTTTAACAATGCCAACACTAACAATAACTTCACTTAAACCATCAAAATAAGCTAAATCAGTCCTAAAAAAATTAAAATTTGTTTATTTTATTTGACTATGATTTTTTTAAATTAAAAATAAAAAAAAAATAAAGTTAACTTACCCATGTTCGTAGGACCAAATATAAATATCACTATCGACTGTGAGCCAAGCTCTATGAATTTCTGGAAATAATCCCATCATACAGTGACATTGCATATCTGTAAACTTTCATTAAGGAAAGTATAATTTGGTTTTAAATTCAAAAGAAAATTTAAAGTTGCAAAATTAAAAAAAAAAAAAAAAAAAAATGATTTTGTAACTGAAAATTCAATTTTAAATAAAAGGATACGACCAAAGTGTTCCATTACTTCAGGGGGAAGTGGTACTTTGCTGACAGTAGTTACTTGTTTTAAATTTGATATACCAGGAGCGAGAACATCCATGCTAGGATAATGATAATCATTTAAACCACTGCATGTTTTCGAGCCTGAAAAATAGTGAAATCTATGTTAGGGTCTAAACTTATTTAACAAAAGCAACTTCATTACAAAATAAAAGAATATGTCTTACATTTAGGGCTGATTTGCATTAGTTGTGATAATCTTGGAAATGCAGAATCATTTATTATATGCTTTTCAACAAGCCTTCCTGCTTGTTCTAAAGATTCTAAATGAGCCCTAAATGGGTTGCCTGATGTCACGTTATCCATCTTGTTCGAAACCATTTCAATTTTTTTTTTAAAATAAAAATTAATAAAACAATTTAAATCAAGTCAATATTTAATTAAATGAATTTATTAAGAATATATTACTGTGACGTGAAACACTTTGATACAACTTTGCAGAAACCGTTTAAAAATGTTTGTGCCATTTACATAACCTATGAAATATTACCGGTTAAAATTTGAAAAATTAAAATTTTAAACTCTTTAATCGAAAAAAACTAAATTTTGAAAACTAATAGTATAAAATTAAAATTGTATAAAAAGTCAATGATTACTGAATTGTAAAATAATATCCATAACAAATAGTCAAAAACTGAATTTAATAATTTATTATACACAAGTGAGAAGACCTCGACCCGCCATTTTCAGACATATTTTAAAATGGTGCGACAATTTTCGCGGGTTTTTTTTTTTTTCGTAAAAAACGATTTGTTTTAATATGAAATAATTTAATTAATTTAAAAGATAATTTATTTTTTTAAAAAATATTATAATAAAAAAGTTATTTTGTAATGTATGTCACTGAAACTCATTTACAAAAAAAAAAGAGGAAAAGATAATGTAAAGATATTAATAAATACATCCATAATGAAATTGACAGAAAAAGAAAAAAATTTATTAAAAATGAAACCAAAAATTACAACAAAAAAGAAAATTCATCAGAAAAAAGAAAAAAAAAAAAAACTTTAAATTTAATAAAATCACATAATTTTAATTAATTTGGAGTTACATCAGGGATTTTTTTTTGAGATGATTCTGGTGGGAGTACAGGTGAATTTATTGGAAGGCTTTCATAAGGTTGATCAGCAATAAGATTGTCGAACAAATCATGACCCATGACAGATTCTTTTATACTTTTCTTAACTTTTTTCTTTCCATATTTATTTTTTTTCACATCGAAATCACCGTTGTCATAATCATCGTCTACATCCGAAAAATTAGCATATTTAGATTTCTTTTTCCTTCTTGAATTTGCTTTCTTTTTTTCCTTTTCACAACTTTTAGATCCATTTTCATCGCTATCGTCACAAACTATTTCTTCATCATCATCATCATCGTCATCGTCATCGTCACTACTATCGTCCTTATCATTATCATTATCATCATCGTCATCGTCGTCGTCGTCGTCATCATCAGAATCATTATTTTTTCGTGATTTTTTTCGATTTCCTTTATTATCATCATCAGAATCATCATCACTATCATCATCATCATCATCATTCTTGTTCTTGATCATTTTCTTAAGGTTTTTCTCTAGGGTACGTCTTTGTTCGACCATGTACTTTTTAAGTGATTTTTTTAACTTTTCATCATCTTCATCATCATCTTCAAGTTCCGAATCGAGTTTCTTATCGATTCGTCTTAAAATCCTTTCATTTTCATTAATATTTTTCTCATTTCTTCGTCTCAAAAGTTGAATTTCATCGAGGATATTTTCCAAACGATCTCTTATATCAGACATGGCTGAATTTCTAAGTTCTTCACCGATAGCATTACCTTTATTCTCTCCTAAATCTTTGACTGCTTTTTGCAAATGATCAACGCTGAACAATAATCTTTTATAAGGAACGGCAAGCATTTTACATGATTTTCCCAAATTCCTTCCTTCCGGTCTGTCCAATATGGTCACATCATCATCCATTTCCGATTTTTCGTAAAGTGTATTTAATTTCGATGCAATTTCCAACAGAATATTATTCATTTCGTAATTTGCAGTCTCGCTAGATGGTTTCATCGAATAATATTCACTTTTTACCAATGATCTATCCAAACTGAATTGAAGTTTAGCAATTTTCCTTTCCAGGGATTTAATTGAATTACCTAAGAAACCTGGATTTAAAAAATTATCAAGTTTCGATTCCAAACTTGATAATTTTCTTGATAAATTTTCCAATGGTGATTCCAAATCATCATGGCTGACACTTGAATATTTTTGTAAATTTTTATCAATATTTTTTACATTTTCATACAATACCGATAAACTTGGTTGATTATCAAAATATTTGACCAATTCATCGAACTTTCCTGTTGATCAAAAAATAAAAAATAAATAAATAAATAAATAAATACATAACGTTAGCTTTTTGTGCCAAAAATTATATTTCTTTTTTTTTTTTTTTTGGCACATAATAATTTTTATTTTTATTTTAGCTAATGATACAGATATAACCTGAAACAATAAAGGTGAACATAAATTTATTATGTAACATCTCACAACTATTATTATTATTATTATTATTAATTTAAAATTAGAACTTTAACTTATTAAAACAATCAAACCAAATTTTTTAACAACAAGTTAAATTCAAATTAAAATTTTAATGTTAAAAATATAAAAAAGAAGAAGTTTTGATGGATGAAAATAATAAGAGGTGATGATAATAATAATGATTTTCTCATTAGTTATATGTCCTATGATTATATTTAATATGATAATAGTTTTCCTTAACCAATTTTTTACCATTTTCTCATTCATCATTAAATTTTTTTAAATTTTATTTCTAAGCAGACTAAATTGTTTTTTTTTTTTTTTTTTTTTTTTGTAATTGAAATACCCTTTAATAAAATGATTCAATATATTTTATTCTATTATTATATTATGATGATATAAAACTTTGGCAAGGTTACAATTATGAAAAGTTTAAATTTACTTTTTTCTTTTTGTTTCTGGCAAAAAAAATAAACATATAAATTTTCTGGATTTATTTAAATAAGTTTTTTTTTCTTTCTTTTCTTTGATTTTGAAAATCTACATATATATGAACAAAGAATAATGTCTGATATTAATTAATTTAAAAATTAATAAAATTTTTTTTTTTATATACAAGCCATGATTAAAAATGTTTTCTTACTGTCTAAAACAATAAATAGATACAATTAATGTTGTTATAAATATCATTATTATTATTATTTTTAAATGTATTTATTTATTTATTTGTTGTTTAATAGAAAATAGTGAGCTAAAAAAAAATTAATGACAAATACAAATTGGCAAAAAAAATTATTATTATTATTATTATTTTTGTAAAAATTTAATCTTGCCAAGTTAAAATTTGAAAAATTTTTTGGTTTTTTTTTTAAATGTTAAAGTTTTATTATTAAAAATAAAAATAGAATTTTCAATTTGCAAAAAAATTACAGTAACAATAAGTAATAATTAATTATTAATTTATTAAATTTAATGTTTTAGAAAAAAAAAAATTTTTTTTTGCAAATTAGTAAAAAAATTATTTTTTGATTTATATATATATAATATCAAACTTTTATATAAAATGACAACTGTAAAAGTTAAAACCAAGAAAAATTTATGCAGTATTTTTTTTTTTTCTTAAATAATTACCTGAAATTTTTTTCAACAAAGTTTCATTATCATCATCAAGTTTTTCTGTTGGAATTTGAGACAAAAAACAATTTCCCCTGTTTAAAAGAGTTAAAAAGCAAAAACTTAAAATTACCTGAAAATAAATTAAATAAATTATTTTATGTTATTATATTGTTAACCATCATGAATTTAATATGAAAAAAGTTTTATAAGAAAAAATAAAATCTCAACTTACTAAAAATTTCATGTCTTTTTACTTCTAAAACATTCTAATTGAAACTGACGGATCCTTTGGAACTTTTTGCTAGAATGTCTTACTTACTAATTACTGTATCCGGTTCTCGTTTTTCGATATATCGAATTTATCGTTTTATATATATATATATTAATTCGATAGACGCCATTTTTAATATACATTAAAAGAATTTTTATAATTTCATTTTGTTTTTTTTTTTTTTCTTTCTCCTTAATGTTTGTAAGTTTTGTATTTAATATAAAATATTTCTTTAAATTTTTGGATTTAATACTTTTTTTTTTTAAATATATATTTTAGTATTTATTTTAATGTAGATAATTTATTTTTCTTTTAGATTACCGGTTGACTCTCACAATACTTCATAACACAGAGTTGTATAAGTGTGTGTATTTCATATTTTATTTGTTGAATTTATTAAATAATTATTTTCAAAATAATTAAAGTGAAAACTGTTTATATAATTTAACCAACTTTCTCTTTAGTATGAATTAAATACTAATTGTAAAAGGTCATTTTGTACGATTAAGTAGTAGTATATCAGTATTGATTTCAGTAAATACATATTTAAAATTTATTAACTGTATATTTTAATCTTGTGATTAAATACCTTAAAATTTGTTAAACAATGGTTCAACCTGGCATCATGAGAAGTAGAGGGAATTTAAGAAATAGAGGAAGACTACCATTTAAACCGAAAACATTTCTTCCAAGACATCCTTTTGATCTTGTTTTGTGTGAAAGTTCTTTCCCAAGAGTCAAACCACTTCCGGATGATACTAATTTTACAAATGCACTCATGCAAAGAAATTCAGATTTGACACCAAAGCCACAAGATCAAACTGCTATTTTAAATCTTGTTAACAAAATTCAAGGAGTTTTGGATAATTTAGTCGTAGCTCCTGGGTCTTTTGAATCTTGTGTATGTATTTAAAAGAAAATCATGAATATTTTTATTTAATTATTAAAATGTATTATTATTAATTATTTCAATTAAATTTTTAGCAAGTTGAAGAAGTACGACAAGTAGGGCCTTTTAAAGAGGGAACAATGCTGACAAAGGAAAATGTAGCAGAAATTGTAGTTATACTCAAAACATTACCAACTAAAGAAGCTGTAGAAGCACTAAGCCATAAGTTGAATGATGAATTGAGAAAACAAGATCCTAAAGAATTTTTAACATTTACTCTCAATGAAGAAGGTTTTGATGTTAGTAGTAATGCAGCAGTTGTTAAAATTTTAATCGCTACTGTTGTACCTAATTTAAGAAAATTAGAACCTGATTTGCATTTAGATGCACAAATAATGCATAATCATCATGCAGCCATAAGGCATAGTAGATGGATGGAAGAAAATGCTCATCATTCATCTATTAAAGTTCTCATAAGGTTGTTGAGAGATTTGAGAAATCGTTTTGAAGGATTGCAACCACTTACTCAGTGGCAAATTGATCTCCTTGCTCACAGTTCGATTATGAATAATCCAACTCGTCAAACATTACCCATTAATGTAGCTTTTAGGAGAGTTTTACAATTATTATCTGCAGGATTATTTCTTCCTGGTTCAGCTGGTATAACGGATCCATGCGAAAGTGGAAGCATTAGAGTTCATACTTCACTCTCGCTTGAAAATCAAGATTTAATTTGTTTAACTGCTCAAACTATACTAAGAATTTTAGCTCATGGTGGCTATAAAAAACTTTTAAGTTTGGATCAAGGAAGAATGAATATAAATGACATGTCAGTGTGGGATGGAGTTGTGGTTTCACCTTTAGAAAAAGCTTATGAAAAACCTACAGATAAAAAAGGAGATGAAGATATGGAAGCAGAGGGTGGAGAAGAAGCAATGGAAACCACCGATGGTTAAATTTAAAATAAAAAAAGAAATACATATTTATTTAATTGGTGTCACTTTTTAAAATAAACAAATTATTGGACTCTCTGTGTACTTGATGCAGAGTACATTGTAATGTACAGAAATGTCTAATAAGAAATTATACGCAAGTAAGTTTTAACTTTATATTAAGTGTAATTCATGTCATTTTTGGTATGGAAACAATTTTTAAAATGCAATTTTTTTTGTGAATAGCTTAATGACAAAAATATACTCAGTGTTTGATGATGAATTTTGCAAAAAAAACTAACTAAAAATAAACATGTATTAATTAAAATTGATTAAATAAATTTATTTTGCCTATTTTTTATTTTAAAAAAAAAAAAGTTTCCATTAAAATTCAATAACAATATTCTACTATAAATTACTAAATTTATACATTCATTAAATTATAAAATTACATTAATACAACATTTAAATTAATATTGAAATTAACAAAACAATAAAAAAACATAATAATAAATATTTATGACTAAAAAACAATTTCTAAATATTAATGACTAGATAAAAGCAAATAAAAGTACCTATTAAAAAAAAAAAAAAAAGTTTTTAATTTGTGCAAGGATTATCAAATGATGATGTTGCAATATTATTACAACTTATTACAGTACTTTGTCCAGGAGGGATTGCTAGTCTAAATAATTTTCCTTCCGGCATACAAACACAAATTTTATACTGTGTAAAAGTTCTAGGGTTTTTTTCTGAAGCTATTGGTAGATTTCTAACATCTATGATAACTCCATTTTGACCATCAAGTATTATACTTTTATTAACACTTTTTAAAAAAATATCCTGGTCAGCAGAAAAAATCACTTCCTTGCCATCTATATGAATTCCTTCACTCCCTTTGAGTTTTACAAATGAATCAGATTTTATAACTAGGATTTTATCAAGAGCACTGGTGATTCTTTTAGTTAAAACTAATTCAACATCCAGTTTTCCAACTCCTTTGGGTAAACCAAAATTTGGAAAATCAGTCGAAAAAATTGTTTTACCTGTCAATGGATTTCTCACGATAAACGAATCTACATTTTTAATTATTTTTTGTTTTTTATCAAAATTAATTGTTGAAGTTATTTCTTTTTCATTTTCTGGAATACTTATAAAAACATTTCCTTCATCTCCTTCTACTTCCATTGGAAAATCGTTAAAACTTTCTAATTTTCCATCTCTCTTATAAATATTATCCAAATCTATGAGACCAAAAAATTTTATTACAGATTCAGCGGGTACTAATTCTAAACTTTCCATTCCTTGTCCAAGACGTAGAACACCGAGAATGGAAATAGTTAAAATTAAATTGCCAAGAGCAAGAATAAATAATAAACTAATTAAAATCCAAAATAGATAGGCGCTGTGCTTTTGCTTCGCTCGCATTTTTCTTGTATTTCCTTCGTCAGTTCTAAATAAATAAATACACAAACCGATAACAATAAATCATAAATTATTTAATTTAAAAGTATTTTTGAATTAATTGACATTTAAATACCTTCTAGTATTTACTGAATTACTGTAACTATTTGGAATCTTTTTTTGGGTTCGTTTAGTAAATGAGTTGGTACGGAAATCTTCATTATCGTCAAAACCAACGCTCGAATTTAAATTTGTCGAAGAAGAGTAAAAGCTATTTTTATAAACTGACATTTTCAAAAAATAATTTTAAATTCAGATGATTCGCAGCAAACATAAACTGCTCAATTAATTAATACCTCTGAGAATCGACCTCTGTGGTTTTTCGTTACGGTAGCAAAATTCTGTTTACCGCAATATGCGATTCATGCTTTTCCAACCATCTTACCTATAATAGTAGCAAATATCGTAAACACATTATTAAAGTTGATTTGTAATCATGGAGTCGGAAAGATACAGTTTTTCTTTAACTACTTTTAGGTAGATTTAATTAAGTACCAAAATTTTTTTAAATATAAGTTTACAACTTTCCGTTCCATCGGTCAATCATTGACTTAATTAAAACAAAGTGTTTTAGAAATAATTTTAAATTTATTTATTATTAAATTTTGAGCTTGTGTTTTGTTGAGTATATTACTTTATTTACATTTAATATACTTTATGTTATTAATGAATTTACATTTGATTTCAGTCCTTCGGGAAAACTTGTTCAAATTGAATATGCCCTTGCAGCTGTGGCGGCTGGAGCTCCGTCCGTGGGCATCAAAGCTTCTAATGGAGTAGTAATTGCTACAGAAAATAAACATAAATCAATTTTGTATGATGAGCACAGTGTGAACAAAGTAGAAAAAATAACGGATCAGATAGGAATGGTCTACAGTGGAATGGGCCCTGATTACAGGTTACTTGTTCGTAAAGCTAGAAAAATGGCCCAACAGTATTTTTTAACGTATCAGGAACCTATTCCGACAGCTCAGTTGGTTCCTAGGGTTGCAACAGTTATGCAAGAATACACTCAATCAGGAGGTGTGAGACCATTTGGTGTTTCTTTGCTTATTTGCGGTTGGGATGGAGAAAAACCTCATTTATTTCAATGTGATCCTTCCGGTTCATATTTTGCTTGGAAGGCGACAGCAATGGGTAAAAATTTCATTAATGGTAGAACCTTTTTGGAAAAAAGATACAGTGAAGATTTAGAATTGGATGATGCTGTACATACTGCTATATTAACATTAAAAGAAGGTTTCGAAGGGCAAATGACAGCAGACAATATAGAAGTTGGAGTTTGTGATGCAAACGGTTTTAAAAGATTGGAACCTGCTAATATCAAAGATTATCTTGCTAATATTCCATAATTATTATAAGAATATAATATCGTATTTCTTGTTTTTTTTTTTTTTTTTTATTTAATATACTATAAAAATGCTTAACGATTGTAAAAGAATAATAAAAAAAAAAAATTCATTTCAAATTACTAATAATAATGTTTTTTTTTTATTTAAAACAAAAATAAAATATATAGAACAACAGTAAAAATATTTGATTTTTTTTTTAATCGAAACTAAACCTGTTCAGTTTTTTATCATTAAAATTATACTTTTAATTATCTTTAAACTCTTGTCTATTATTTTTTTAAAAATTTATTCCATGTTTAATGTATTTTAACTTATTTTTGAAACAAATAAATTGATTTCATAAATTTATAACCTATTATAAAGGTTCATTGATAAAAGAAGTCAATGAAATAATTAAGTGTCACATGTAAAACATTTTTCTGTACTTGATATTCTCGTCTAAAAAAGTAAATATATTTTAATTTATTTGTAAAATTAAGTTCTCTTCGAATTGTACTTGAATACATATATATTTTTACCAAAAATTAATGTTCACACACATGAAATTATAAAGTAAATTCATATAATGAATGATGATTAATTTTCCGTTATGTGTAACATACTCTAAGGAAAGAAAAAAAAGTACGTTCAGAAATTCAAAATTTTATTGCGCTTGTCCACCTTCGCTAACCGTTACAAAAACAATTTAAAATCAATAACAAAAGAATGTAGTGGAGAATTCAGAATGCAAAATTCATGCCGTTTATGTTTTCGTAGCTGTGTGATATTTGTGTTTGTGTTTGAAAAAAAAAAATATTAAACAAGAAGAATATATTTAAACTCAGGAGAATAAAAGGATAAACAATTGTAAGGTATGATAATTGTATGTATTTATATATAATGAGGTTAGGATCAAATTGCGCGAACGCGTGATCGAATGAAATTCCCTTGACAAAAAAAAAAAAAAAAAAAAAAGGAAAAAGGAAAAAAAAAAAAAAGAAAGAAAGAAAAATTTGTCATTTATATTTGAATAATCTTTATAAAAATATCATATTTTAATTACGTTCAATATTAAATTTAATTATTTTACACGCGTTTCCTTTATTTATAATGACAAAATTAATATATATATATATATATATATATATATATATATATATATATATATATATATATATATATATCGATTGATTAATATTATTTATATAGGTTAGATCAAATTGTTAAATTTTTCTTTCTCCTCGCTCCCCGTCCCCCCTTCCCACAAAAGTTTCATTTTATTTAAATAAATGATTTAATGTATATCATTCGATGGAAATAAAAAAAAAAAAAATGAACGGTTTGTCTTTAAATTAAATAATATTAAATTTATAAAATTTTTTATGAACATTTAATGTCAGACAACAAATAATTATTATTTATTGATAATCGTATAATAACGATATATATGTGATAACACAAAAATTAATTAATTACCTTCTAATTAATTACCTTCTAATTAATTACTCATAATAATGATAATAATAATGTAACAATAAATTAATTTATCAATGGTAATTTTTTTTTGTGTAATATCAATGTAATAACAACAATGAAAGGGAAAATCCAATATGAAAATTATTTTATTTTATTTTATTTTATTTATTTATTTTTACACTTGGAAATACGTGGATTTGAAATGAAAAAAAAAGGTTAGGTTTGCGTTATATATTCGTTAACCTTTTATTCCTTTCAACCTTTTCTATTCTCTTAATTCCCAATGCAACAAAAACAAAAAAAACAAAAGGTTGGAATTTTTTTTTTTTTAAAAAAAAATTCTGACGTGAAACAATTTAAAATATTTTTTTTTTTTTGTATTCGGTTTTCGTTTTGAACAATCGTTTTCTTGTTTGTTTGTTTGTTTTGTTTTTGCTTTGTTTTTCTGTTGGTAGGTATGCGTAGTTGTTGTTACTGTTTATTGTCCCATTAGTACTTTCTTCCATTTTCTAGTAATTTATTTTTATTAATTTTTTTTTCTTTTTTCTGGAATTGGGAAAGAAGAATGGACAAGGGGTAGTTTAACGAAAAGTTTTTTGTTTTTTTTTTGTGTGATTTTTTCAATAGGGGAAGTAAACACACGATGATGATTTCCGGTTTTTATTTTATTCTAATATTTCTATTTCGTTTATTCTTTTTTTTTTTTTTTTTAAGTATACCCAACAGAAAATAAGTTAGTTTGTTGTGGTCGTTGTTGTTGTTTGTTTTCATTTTTCGTTTGTATTATTATTATTATTTTTTTTAATTTTAACAACATTTAATCATTTAACAAGAAAAAAAAAATTTTTTTTTTGTTTATTATTATTATAATAATTTTTATTTAAAAAAGTTGGTTTTTATTTTGGCCGATAGGTGGCAGTCAATTGATGACATTTTTTATTATTATTTTTGTTCGTTGGAAATTTAAAAAAAAAAAAAAAACGTTAATTTTTTTTTTTAATAATTAACGTTACCCTTGTTAGGATTGTTACGATGCATTAAATTCATTCATTATTTATTATTATTATTATCATTATTAGAAAAGTTATGGAAAGTCTCATGGAATGTAAAAAAAAAAAAAAAATTAATTTTCATTCATTCTTTATTTTCTTCTTATTCTTATCCTTCTTATTATTATTATTAATCGTATCATCATCATATCATAAATTATTATTATTATTATATACATTTCTCTCTTTGGTTTTTTTTTTTTTTACCACATTGGAAAATTCAATTTGTAAATATTAATTAATCGTTGGGGTTGTTTTAAACGTTCGACACGTAATTTTTTCCATAACCCAAAACCCGATCATTAATTTCCCTTATTATTATTATTATTATTATTAATAAAAACGAGAATGATAATAAATATCTACGAAGGGGGAGGGAAGGGGATGGGAAAGGTTTCATTCAAGAGATAACAACGAATTGATAACAGGAAAATTTTCAGGAAAGAAAAAGTAAAAGAATTTTTTTTTTTTATCGTTAGTTACTTCTTGTATTAATTAGTGGTTGGTTGGCACTCTTGCTAAAAGTTCAATAATTTACAAAAATTTATTTCTTTTTCCCCCCCCCTCTCTCTTTTCGTTTCATTTCGTTCGGTTTCACGCTGTCTCTTCCTTTTTTTCTTTCTTTCTATTTTTTATTGACTTTTCCTTTTTTCTTTTGAGATTTATCGGTTTCCTATTTCTATTTCGGTTGTTTCCTGTCAAATTTTTTTTTTTTTGTTATTACGTGAGCCTTTCGGTAAACATTTATTTTATTCGTTATTATTAATTGTAATCCGTTCGTAATCATGTTCGTTAAATTTATAATAATAAGTAAATTTAAAAAAAAAAAAAAAAAAAAAATGAAATTTGTTTTTTTTTTGGGGGGGAGGTAAGAAGGGGGAAATATTTTGTTCGTGCGAGTAAACAAATTTTTTTTTGATCGTGAACGATGTAAATTTTTTTTTTTTTTCGTGTCAATAGTTGGTAACGTGATAAATGAGAAAAGAAGGTAGTTCATGGGCATAGAGTTGGGAAGGAAAAAAAAAGGTCATTTTCCAAAGTGAACCTTTTGTTATTAGAAGATAAAGAAGAATAGGGGATAGGGGATAGGGAAGGAGGAAAGGGAGTCCTCCTGTGTTTTTGTGGAAAATCTTTTGGAAAGGAAACATGAGATTTTTTTTTTTTTTCTATAATGTTTACTCCCGAACGTTACTTAATCCCCTTTCTATTTTCTTCCATCTTTAGTTTTTTTTTTTTTTTTTTTTTTTTTTAAAGAGAGAAAATTTACTACTCGTCTAACATTACAGACGAAATATCGTTAAGTAATGACGTCATAATAAATTTTTTTTTTTTTGTAAATTTGATTCCAGGGCAGTGGGGCAGTAAAACTATTTTTTTTTTTTTCAATCTCATAAAATTTTATTATCTTTTTCTAATTTATTTTTGTTTCATTTTATATACTTTTCTCTCTCACTCTCACTCTCTCTCTCTCTCTCTCTCTCTCTCTCTCTCTTTTCTCGCTATTCTCGTTTACGACTTTTTAATTTTTTTTTTTTTGGAAAATAATCATTGTTGAAATTGAGTTTTTCGAATAAGAGAGAGGAGGAGGAGGAGGAAGAATCTTTTCAAAAACACAATTTTCTGTGCCATTACACCGTGCCTGATTTCATTTACAGAAAAAAAAAAATCGCTTAACGTTTATTTGTTTTCCTTTAAAAAAAAATATATTTCCGGTTTTCACGAGCGGCGGAAACACACAATGTTCAAAAAAAATTTTTTTAAATGAAATAATAATAATAATAATAATAAAAACACGGAGGAACAATATAATAATAGCGAGAAAGAAAAAAAAGTAATTTGCAAAATATTTACATTATATGCAACGTTCTCCCAATCCGGGCAATTATAGAATTTTTTTTTTTTTTTTTTTTGCTCATTTGTTTGCTGTTGTATCAAGGTATTGCTGACGTTTATTTTTCCCTCTCTCTCTCTCTCTCTTTTATTTTTTATTTTTTACTAACGTTTTCTTACGGAACAATAATAAAAAAAGTTATTATTATTATTATTATTTGTTTTTTTTTTTAATTCAATTTGATTTTAATTTATGATTTTTTTTTTTTTTTGCTTATAGGAAAATTATTATTATTATTATTATTATTATTATTATTATTATTATTATTTTTATCGTTTTTCGATTTTTGTAATTAAAATAAAGTATTTAACTTTAACTCAAATTCTGTCGAGGGAATTAATTAAAATAAAGTATTTAACTTTAACTCAAATTCTGTCGAGGGAATTAATGTTTTTTTTTTGTTTTCATTTTAATTAATAATTACATCGGATTTAAAAATGTTTGTCATCGTGTAAACAACCGAAAGTGACACGTGATTGCATTTTTCTCCTTCCACGTTTTTTATATTGAATATTCAAAAATATTATTATTATTATTATTATTATTATTATTATTATTATTATTATTATTATTATTATTATTATTATTTAAATAGCCGTTTTTCT